GCCCGCCGCGGCTGTGGCTGCGGCTCGCCGCTGCTGCAGGAAGCCGCGGAACGGCGCGACGCCGGTGCCGGGGCCGATCATCACCAGCGGAGTCGACAGGTCCTTGGGCGGACCAAAATTGTCCGAGGGGCGCAGGAAGACCCGCACCCACGTGTCGCTAACTGCGCCACCGTTGGCTGCCTCGCCCCTGCCCAGCCAGGGCTGCAGAGCACGCTCAAGCCAGCCTGTGGCGACACCGCGGCGCGGCCCAGAGGGCGTCTGTAGCTTGACGAGGGAAAATGCGAATTCTGTGCGGGCTGCTGGGGCGCCGCCGGCCGGGGGCGCGCAGCAGATCGAGTACATGCGTGGCGCCAGGGGGGGCAGGGCGTCCAGCAGTGCGGACAGCGGTGGCGCACAACTCTTGAACCTGTGAAGGCACAGCGGGTGGGGTCAGCAGCGGTGTGGCGGCAGCAGTTGGGGGGTTTGACGCATGCGGAGGGTGCACAATTGCCACACCCGTGTTACCGTGCACACCATGATGATTGGTCGCATTTGCCTCTCCGTTGCAAGCACGCAGCTCACACCTGCGCCCCCCTCCTCCCACCTGTTGAGCAGGTCCAGCAGCGTCGGCTGCCCCAACACCATTTCCCGCTGGTAGTCCTCACGCCCGGCACGCGCACACAGGAACAGCAGTGTCCTGCACGTCGGTTCCATTTGTGGGCAGGGGAGGCAGGAGGGAGGGCATAGAGAGGTTGGTGTGCTTGTGTGCTGCCAACCCACGAAAGGCAGGGGGATGATGGTCAGTTAAAATACTGTGGGAAATGCAACCAAAAACCTTGAGCCTTGCCGTGCAACATGGCCAATCGCCGCACCGTTTTTCTGCCGCGTCGCTGCAGTGCTCCGCCAGAAGCCGCAGCAGGCTCTTGCGCGGCACACCGGTGATGTCTACTCCGTGCCCAAAGGCGTGGCTCAGAGTGCAGGGCCACTCAATGTGGGGCAGAAGGGACACACCCGAGGGGGTGCCATCTGGGGTGCAGAGAGTGGGTGAATGGAGACTTCTAGGCGTCTGGGATGTGCAGGGGCGAGGGTGCTAGCTGGGCTCGATTGAGGCCATTGGGCAGAGAATCCAAGATCAGACATCTGCAGACAAGGATGCAGCAAAGCGGCGCTGCACCTGCTTCTGCTCTGGGTCTGGCATCCGCCCACCTGCCGCCTTTACGCCAAACACTGTTGAGCTTTCTAGTCCAAGCCGCCGCAGCAGCGCGTCCACCAGGGCCGGATCATTCTTGGGGTCCAGGAGCAGAGCCAGGGAGGGTAGGCAGGGTTTCAGGGGTCCCAACGGCTTGGCGAGCTGTGCAGCAAGGAAGCAAAAAAATCTAAGTAGGGCAGGTTTTGACCACCATCACTGCTTACCACCTTGGACCCCGCTCCTCCCCTGCAGCTGCACCCACCTGCACCAGGATGCCGATTGAGTCGCCCGCAGTGTATGCCATGCCGCTGCCAGCAATGTCCAGTTCGCAGTGCACCACCACTCGGTCAGAGCCAGGCGCTGTAAGCAGCCTGGACAGGACGCCAGGAGGGGGCAGCACCACGCTTGTTCAAGTGTGCAAGGTTTGTGCCACCACAGCCCCAGCAGTGTGCGGTGACTCCTGCAAACCTGCGACGATTTACTGAGCAAACATTTGTCTGCGCACCCCACGTGGCACCACACCGCCCACCTGGCGCCTGCCACCTTGGCCCAGAAGGGGGCTGCCGCGCTGTAAGTACCGCCCTCGTCTCGATAAGCTGCCTGCTTGGGCGTGGGCCGCGACGTGTCGCGTTCCCGAGCGAGCTGGGCAACCTGGCGGGTGGTGGGATAAGGAGTAGCATAGCCCCTGTGCCGGAAGCAAAAAGTGTGCAATCGCACGCTATTGCAAAATTTGGCATGATTGCCTCACGCATCAATTAGTTGCTGCCGCACAAACGCCCGCAGCCGGCATTGGCCGCTCACAACCAAAACCCTCCCTCAACCTTAGACCCCGCCTACCTCTGGCGACACGTCCAGTACCACCTCGATACGGGGCTCCGCCAGTGCGGGGGCGCCCCGCACGTCGGCACCCTCCGGGGCCAGGCCGTCCACCAGGCCTGCCGGGGCTGTCGCCGCAGCCGCCTGCTGCTGCTCTGCTGCTGCCGGGGTGAAAGCCAGTGGGGCCGGGGCGGCGGGCTTTGCTGTGTTGACTGCTGCTGGCGGCGCAGTGTTGCCTGTTGCCTGTGGCGCTGCAGAGTTGCCTGCTGCCTCCGCGAGCGCAGTCTTGAGCGGCCCCCAAATGTTCTCGCACCACGGGTCCACCTTGAGAGCGGGGGTTGGCGCACGCACACGTCTTGGCCCCATCCCAGGATCAAAATCCCTGAAACTGACTCATCACTTGTCTCGCAACAACTAGCATTCATCACGTGCAGCGGCAGCCGCTGCCGCTGTTGCCCGTCATCCCACTTCACTGCGCCCCGCCCTCCCCAACAACCCCCTTCATCCCACCCTTCCATCCGCCACCTAAACCCCCATCCGCTCCCGCCCCCACCCACCCCACCTTGCCCTCCAGGCCGTCCACCTCGTCCGCCTCCACCAGCGGGATAAATTCCGACGCCCCCAGCTCAGTAAAGCGCGAGCGGATGGTGCGCGACACATGCATGAAGCGTGTGTAGTTGGAGTCACCCAGCCCGAGCACCGCGAATTTGACGCCCTTGAGGCGGTCCGCGGGGTGGGGCTTCTTCAGCTGCACGTAGAACGCCGCAGAGTTGTCCGGCGGATCGCCGTCACCTGTGGACGCCGCTACCACCACCACCACTGGTGCCTTTTCGGGCGTGAAGTTGCCCCAGCCCAGCTCATTCAGAGACATGGCCTCCGCCAGCACGCCGTGGCCCTTGGCCTCCGCCGCCAGTGTCTTGGCGATCTCGGAGCCCGTGCCCGTCTGGCTCGCAAACAGAAACAGCGCGCGCGGCGGGGCCTTGCGAGCTGTGGCCGCCGCCGCCGCGGCTGACCGCACGCCAACAGCAGCGCCAGCGCCACGCTGCGCACGCAGGCGCGCCAGGATTGCCGCGCCGCCCGTCATGGGTGCGGCGGGTGCAGGTGTGCCTGAGGTCGCCATGCCTGGTGCCAAGCTAGCAGCTGGTACCTGCTGATATGGAGAGCGGCGCGTGCATAGGATCGTACAGGCTGTCACACACATGCCTGTTTACGAGGGGTTTCAGGGCGTTCACACACGGGATGCACTGTACTGACAGTGGCGGCAGCAGAGTGTGCGTGCTGCGCGCAGCAAGCAAGCCAAGCGTCGCATGTGCTTCCCACAGGCCTTGGAAAAGATTTTGCAACATTGAACGATGCCATGCACGCCGCACGCACACCCCAGCAAGTCGCTGGTGCGACGGGAGCCTGCGCCACCATACTGTTCGGTGAACGCAACGGCAAGACCCTCACCGCCAAGCCAGCTTCTGAATCTGCAGCTGTAGCCATCCAATTTTCCTTCGCTTTGAGCGCCCCCTGGCGGCGTAGCTTGGCCGCGCGAGCTCGCTGCACTGGCACACCCCAGTTGCAATTTTGTACAGTGCGGTAATATAGGTTGATATAAAATTTGTCCTCGCCTCAAACTTTTGTTGGACAGGACAAAATTATCCTCACGGAGAGGGGGATCGGGCAGGCAACACAATTGAACAATGCTGCGGCCCGCTGCGATGGGGACGCACAACTGCTGATGGCATGTATGGGGCATGTGCGCACGTGAAATCAAATGTGTGCGTGTGCTTGTGGGTCTGTGTGCGTGTGTGGCTGCGTGTGCATGGAGAGAGGATGTGTGCTCTTTGTGACGCAGAGTATAATAACCAGGCTCGCCTTGAAGCACTTGCAGCCCGTGAAAGGCCACGGACTGGCCTCGGACAACAGATTCAAGCACATGTGCCCTGATAAAGCATGCTCATGCTTTACTACAAGAGCAATCGCCACGTTCCAATTTTGGGCTGCCCTGGCCGTTGACGTTTGTCACATGACGCCAGATTTCTCCAGTTGGACAGCTCCACCGCTTACCCTGCATTGCTAATGGTTGTTTTGAGTGTTCCGGCTACCAGCGACCACGATTTGCTTTTTGCATTGCCGATTCCATGCGACATCATCTTCCAGCAGTTGCTCTGCATGTGTCTCTTGGAACCAGGCATTGCTGGCCTTTGTCAGTCGTACAGGGCACGTGCACATGCGCGCCGGCCATGCATGTGTTGCTGCCATGTCTGCTTGTGCTTGATGCTTGATTTCAAAAGGCAGCGCTAGGAGAGCTGGCTGACAATGGCAGTGGGCACCGGGTGTGCCTGCTTGCTCGTGACTAAGGGTGCGACAACAACACCGTGTCGCATGACCCGTGCAGCCCCACAGGTCATGTCCGTTATCGAGGCATCTCAGCCGCTCTCGCGCAAAATTGGTAGTCGCAGGCCATCCATACTTGTCCAGCGTGGTCGGCCGTTGCATGATACATGCCCGATTTGGGTTGCATGGTGGCACCGGCCCGCAATCGTGCACCTGTTGCCGAGCGGTGCCAGTTGCTCGCCCTATGCGATACCCTGACGTTACTGTACGTGTAACAGCTCAATAAATTGCAAAAATCAGGGGAAACTGGGCAAGCACCCACAAACATCGCTGTGTGGAAGCCGTTCGGCACCAGGCCACCGCTCCATTGCAGCTGCATGAACAGACCGCGGCCTGTCAAAGCACCACATTAATAGTGCTAGAAGCCTCCGTTGCATGCCCGCCTCAATCACATCGCGCGATCGGTAGACACCACAGCCACCCAACCGAGATTTGGGCAAAAGGCACCACAGAGCCCCGAATCCAGCACCAATTCGACACTAGAAGCAGTCATGAGCTCGCAGACCTGCTCCTGCGACGACGTCACCCCACATGGCGAGCAGACGAGCGGTGCCGCGCCTTGCAGCAGTGACGATCAGGGCATCAGCGGGCCGGGCCGCGTCGACCTACCCCAGTCCAAGCACAGGTGACCTTACAGAGTTCTGTTCCGGTGTCGTGTCCTGCCGGACAGTTACAAGCACGTGCACATTATGCAGGCCCGGGGGCCCTGCGCGCGCCTGGACAGCCTTGGCGCCTTCGGTTGGGCCGCCTCTGCTACGGCGCACACGTGGCCACTTGAGTCGCAGTCACACAACGCTGATGCTTCCAAGTCAAATCCGACGAGCCTGGATGGCTCCAGGAGCAAGCGACCGTGGGATCGTGTAACAATTCTTATCCTTATCCTAATCCTGCTACACGGCAAGCTTGGCACTGCAGGGCCGGCCCTCACCCAACATGGACATCCCCGCTCCTGCAAATTTTTGGTACTCAGGGGTGTTACATGGGATCGCAAGGAGCAAACGTGGCGTGCGCGCATCTACTACAACGGCAAGCAGCTGCATGTCGGCAGGTGAGGTGTGGTCGCTGCAGACGCCATTGAGTCAAGTCCCGTGCCCATGGGCGCCGCCAGCGGTGGCCACGCCCTTTCAAATGCCATGACGCGACGGACTTTGGCATCCCACCCGCTACTTGCCTTGCAGACCAGTGTCCGGCGCTCCCCCCCCCCCCCCACGTCCGCAGGTACCCCACAGAGGACGAGGCGGCCCAGGCATACGATTGCGCCGCAGTGGTGCTGGGGGAGCGCACTGAGCGGCGGTTCAATTTCAGCCTGGCCCGCGCCCGCACACTGCTGCCCGCCCACACAGACAAGCCGTTCTTTGTACGTGTGGCACGCATGGGTGCCACGCGCACAGACGGCGGCAGCGGCAGCGGCAGCGCCAGTGGACGCAATGTTAGCCAGTCGCCCCGAGGACCTAGGGCCAGCAGCAGCATCGCCCGCAGCAAGCGGCGTCCGGCAGGCATCGACCCCCGCTCAGGACTCGATGTGCCGGCCAGCCAAGCGCTGCTCGGAGACGCGTCTCAGGTCCATCACGCGGTCGAGGCCCAGCCTGCGCCGGCAGCAGCGAGCTTCACTGCCCCGAACACCACCTCAGCGTACCAGGCGGGCGTGCTGGCGACTGGTGCCCCCTCTTTTGACTGCCCCATCGTGCTCACCGCGCCCTGGACTCAGACGGCGGAGGCGGCTGGGATGTGCGCCCGCGAGGTGCCGCCATTCATGCTGGACAACGCTGGGGCGCAGCGCCCTCAGGAGCTGAACTGCAGCATGCCGGTTTTGTTGGAGGCTGGCGCGGCGGCGACATCGTGCCGGCAGCTGCCGACCGTCACCACGCCGCCGCCACCAGGAAGTGGCTGGACGGCATCCTCCGGCCGCGGCGGTGTTGCGGCCGGCGGCGCAGCACCCTACGCGACGAGCTCGCCACTCTTGACTGCCTGCGTGCCTGGGCCAGACACCGCATCTGATTGGACAGCAATGCAGCCCTTGCTGCAGGCAAAGCTTTGGGGCATGGCGGCGCCGGCGCCGACGTCACAGCTTCCCCAGCTGCAAACGCAGCTGCAGCAGCTGCCGCCCCCTGAGGTCACTGAGCTTACCGCGTCCGGGGCGGCGGCTGCATCCACCAGCAGTGACCTGTTGGCGCTGTACAGCATGTGGGCAAGTCGCGGCTAAGGAGGGCAGCTGGATTCTGATTTGGATAGCGTAGGCAGTCCTGGCAAGCAGCCTGGATATTTGTGCTTGTTCCAAACCTTGGGCTCTATACGACGACCTCGTGTATCCAAAGCTGTGCCATGCCAATGCTGATACTCTCGCAACGAAGCACAGTCTTCCTTTCAATTGTGGGCAATGTGTACAGGTTGATATGCGCTTGCGATCCCCAGCAATGCAACTGACAGACAGTGGCGTTTGAAGCGGCAGCATCGCTCCCTTGACTCGATGCGTGCACCACTAACCCAGGCGTATTAGTCTTGCATCTGTGGCATGCCTGCCAGGCGCAGGAGTCTTGAACTGTGGCATGCCTTTTGAACCAAGCGGCCCATCTTGATGAGCGTGCCTAACTGCACGTGGGCACCCCAATGGCACGCAGCTGTGCTACCTCTGCTTCATCCTCCAAGCCTCTCACAAGGCCCATGACAAACGTTGACATTGTGAATTCCTCTGAATGTTCGGCGACGATCTGGGACGGCTAGTGGCCAGGATCGGCCCCCACTTGCACACTGAGTTTCTTGCCACTGCCGGCAATGGGTTTGACGCGTGTGTTGTTACCGTTTGCATGTAGACAAGGGCACAGAAGCTAGGCTATGCACCAATCATGCCGTTTGCTTTATGCTGTACCACGAGTTGATGCGGAATTGCATGCGCGCTTCCATTCAACCACAAGCTGGCATGGCCCCAAGACATGACTGACCACATATGACTCTTACATGCAAGAGTGAATCATCAGCTGCAGAATTTTGTTGACAACCTAAGAATGGGTCCGGCAAATGATAATTTTGACCACGCAGCTTGTCTTGTAAATGTCGATCATCGTTTACATGCGCATTACAACAGCCTCGCTGCCGCCGTGGGCTGCGCCATACACCCCAAGAAGGCAGCTGGCACGCTCAAAAACCTGAGGACGGTGGCTCACAATGATGTACTGTGCGCCTGCTGAGAACGACGTGTGGTGCCCGGCCTCGCAGGCAGCAATTGTGGTGTCAGCGCCTGTTGCCCCTCCCGTGGCCAGGCGCAGGACATGGCTAGCGACACGGCTGGCGGCATCGGCATCGAGCGCTGCGAGTTGTATGAATGGTGGTGGAGGTCAGGAGATATCCAGTGGGGTGGATGCTGGAGCCTGGGCACAGGAAATGCGTGCTGCGGTACCGCCGCCAACATCAACGTGCCGATCAACAGGCACCGAGAACTGCGCCGATCAGCTGCCCTGCATGTTGGGTTGCCAATAAAGGGTACGCATCCCTCTCTCTGAAATGGGGCTTGCTGGTTTCCTGCCACAATGCGCATGCATCCTGCATGTCCCTTTCCCGGAGCTCACATGCGTCAATCTCGTCAAAGAACGTGAAAGGTGAAGGCATCACGTCCTGCAGCGCAAAGCTCAGCGCCAGCGCGGCCAGCGCCTGCTGGCCTCCACTGAGCGCAGAGAATGAACGCCACCGTGATCCGGGTGGCCGCACCACCAGTGCAATCCCCTCCTCAAACAGCTGTGACTC